TTTTTGTTTTGCTTTGCTTTTCATTTAAACTAGAAAGACAAGGTCTGTTCACCAAGAAGGATTACTGAGGAAAACCAAATTCAGTGAGCATATGTAAACTTCAGACAAAGATCTGCCTGTTAGTATAGGCATTGTTGGTGATGATATCGGTGATGATGGTGATGGTGATGGTGATGATGGTATGGTAATGATAATCCCCAGGCAACTTGCTAAGTGCTTTTCATAAGGATCTCTTTTAACCCTTACAAAAACCTAGGGCATAAGTAAAACCATTTTACAGATGAGGAAGCCAAAACTCAGAGAGGTTACCAAAAGTTTCCCAAAATAACACTTGCTTCTTCTCACTCAACTCTACTCCTGACTTTTTGAACTACTCTAGAGAAGACTCTATGACCACACTATTCATCCCTGAGCCTTTCAGCCTAATTGCTTCAAAATCATTGCTTCACTGAGCTACTCATAAGGCTGAGGCAGGAGGATCATTTGAGCCCAGGATTTCAAGGCTCTGGTGCACTGTGATTGCACCTGTGAATATCCACTGCACTCCAGACTGGGCAACATAGCAAGACTCTGTCTCTTAAAAATAATCTCTTCTTCAAAATCAAAGTCAACTTCTGATTTTTTTTCAGGAATCAGTCATCAGTAGCAACAACCTAAACATCTAATTGTTATTGGATGAGATGAGAGGCAATTTCACAATGTGGTGATGAGCTTGGCTTCTGAAATAAGAGTTCTGGCTCCATCACTCACTAGCTGTCCAGATTTGTGCAAACTGCTTAACCTCTCTGTCTCTCAGTTTTCTCAACTGCAAAATGAGGAATGGAGCTCTTATCACACAGGGTCATCATGAGTAGTAAGTGAGTCACTCATTTAAAGTGCTCAGCAGAGTCTAGCACCCAGTTAACATCAATAAATGTTCATCATTTTTATTATAATCATTACTGTCTTCTTAATGTTAGTATTTTGCATGCATTATCTTATTGAGCTCTTGCAATAAGTCTATTCAGACAAGATAACTAAGTCTCACAGAGAATAAGTGGTTAGCCAAGGAGAAGGGAGCTGACTAGGAGAAGAAGCTTGAGATTCCAGCTCAGATCTGACTCCAGGCCCACCCTATACTTCCTTCTCAGTATTGCTCACCTAACCAAGACAATATCAAAATATCATGAAGTAAGGACTGCCAAAATTTCTCTTATGCTGTAACAGGAAGATTTAGGTTTCAGAGTATTTTCATACAAGGAAATACTCAAGCTGGTTCCTGAAGTGATAACTATATGGCATCGTTTTTAAATGCCTGTGTAAGTCAGTATTTTTCAATGTAAGTGACAGCAGCCACTTCATTGGGTGAACTAACTGACAAGTCCAAAGATAGATCTCCCCTACCTTCAGGTATGGCTCAATCCAGGCACTCCAGTGATGCCATCAGGAATATTTCTTTCTCCATTTATGAGCTATCTTTCCCTCTCTTGGCTTCTTTTTGACTTAGGCTTTTACGTAGATGGGCAGTGGAGTCTCTGAACTTATATCTTAATAGTCACATCCCAAAGGAAAAAGGGCATTTTTCCCCCAATTGTTCCAGGAGACAGCCTGGATGGCACCTCACTGCTCCGAAGTTACATACCCCTCCTGAACCAAACTTTATGGCCAAGGTGATGGAATCCTCTGATTGGCCAGGCTTAGGTTGAGTGACACCCTTGCACTCCTCCCACATAAAGTTGATGAACATACACTAAGAGTTTGGGTCAGGTGGCTCTCCAAAGAAAGCGCTAGGTTGCTATTATTCAAGAAGGAGGAATTGATGCTGTTTAGGCAGAAAGGATGTATGTCCACTACCATACTATTCACTTGTAGAATATGGAGTCTCGGACAGGAATAAGACTTAGATTCCACTGCTGACTAGCTGAGGAACCTATGCAGGTTCCTTAACTGCTCACAACCTCAGCTCTTCCATTTGTAATAACACAGCCGATACTTATGTAAAGCCTCATTTATTTATCATAATAATTCAATGCTATAAATTCTTTCATGGACCTCTAACATTGATTTTACAGCTCAAATACAGACAAGTAAATCACCTGTCCAAAGGTTGAACAGGTGAAGAGAAGATGAGCCAGGATTTGAGCTCAGGCAAAGACCGACTTCTAGCCTTCACTCATAACCACTAGGCTTTACTGCCATTTATCTGTAAAATTATGGCTGGACAAGATGATTGCTAACATACATAGTAATTTTTTGGCCTTAGTGTTCCACATAAAAAAGAAAGATAAGAGGAAGAGGGAAAGGAGGAAGGGAAGGAGGAGGAGGAAGAAGAATTAATAACAGAGTGGAAATCCTTGAAAGCCCCATTTTATAAATGCTAATTTGGAGGGACAGCTTACACCTGGTCTCTTGGTTTTATGCATTCTTATCTTGAGTGGATGTTCTCTGAGTTTGCAACAGGAAAACTGTTGCTCTGTGATTGCTAAAGAAATTTTGAATCTGCCTTCTGTAATAGTCAACACACAAAAGTCTTCATCATTGTCAGCTAAGTTGCAGAAATTATACTTCTTAATGCAAACTTAATCATTGAATAAAACTGTAAAGAAGATGTTTTTCTGCATAACAGTAACTTCCTTTTCCTTGTTTTTTTTTTTTCTGTTTTTACTGAATTATTGAGTAAACATTAAAACCAACAAATACTCTCCTGCTTTAAGCTGCTTATTTTCAAAATCTACTTCTGCAACTGTGCTTTGTCATCAGTTGACTTAAGGTAAAGGCAGTCTATAAATTAATAACCTACTTCAAATTGAGAAGCGGCAACTTAATGTTGAATAATGAATAAGGCAAAGCCTTTTCAGGTTGCTAATTCATGGTTAGATAAATAAAAATAGTCATGCCATGTGAAAAGTTAACTTATTTTAGGTGGTTCAATAATATAAAAGGTTAAGCTATAGCCTTTGGTATAAAAATGTCAACGTTAAATATATATTATAATCATTTTTAAAAAAACTTTTCCAGCAAAAGAATACTTAAGCTTCTTGGTGTCTTGAGGAAATGTTTGAGTCTGTAGATTGTTGTGGAGGAGGGGTGTGTGGTCTGAATTGTTCTCTTCTTGCTTGAGATTTCTTGTTCAATCTTCTCACCAACATGACCTAGTAAGATTTTTGAAGAGGTTACAACTGCTGTCACAATTCTAGTTATCTGTAATCTGATAGTCATGAGATTGGTCAGTCCTAAAAAGAATTTAGCAAGCATGTGTAAAAATTTTCTATAGAGCTCTCTTCCTAAAAACAAGAGTGGTATATACAACAATAACTAAATATAACAATAGCAACAACTTTTGCTGTCTTGTGTCATTTACCTTGGGTCAGACTTTGTGCTAAGTATTTTACTTATGATTGTTTTTCAAGATGTTAAGTCTAGCAAGTCTTGAAGTGGGTATGATGCTATATATATATATATATATATACACACACCCCCAAAGGTCAGAGTTCATTGAAATTCCCAAAGTCACACAGCTCCTAAGGGGTAAACTTAGGATTTTGGGTTCCTTAAAGTTCTATTCTGAGGATAACACTTTCCTCTCAAGTTCAGATAAATTTAAATTCTGGACTCTGACACTGGCACCTTATAGAGCCTCCCTCTGTTAAGAGCTGAAGAGTGTCTGAGCAGAGAGGAATGTTATCTCTTCACAGTTTCCCAAGGACTGGGTCAACGGACTGTTTTGTAGGAATAATCTTGAGAGTGAAGAGAAGTGACCGTAAGTTGAGGCCTACACAGATCCAATGTCATGTTGAAACTGTGCTCAGATTTCTGGAAAGATTTGCTTTTTCAGCCACTGGCATTGACTTTTTTAGCACAAAACACCACATGTATTATGCTGTCATCAGAGCCATCCTTGGTGATAATTGCAACATGCCAGCCATGAAACACCCAGCCCTGGCTCCCATGGCCTACTTCTGAAAGGAACTGCATGGCTTTACAATTATCACTCAGACTGGCAGGGAGAAGGGAGGGTGGGAGCAGCAGGGGAAGAGATCATTTCAATCTGGATGAACAGATCAGCTGCCTTGGACACCATGCTGTGCTGGCCAAGCCAGGTTCCTGTGACATCATGCCCCATTCTCATACTGTCAGCAAAATTCCCTGAAGACAACAGCTGGCACTTCTGCTCACTCCACGTGGGAATGTATGCCAACTCCTCCTTTCTGTGAGGCTGCTCATCTTCTCTCTGCTCCTGGAGTCCCTCCCTCACCCAAAGGGTGGGGTTCTGTGAGTGCAAGGACACCAGAAAAACTCATTTTCATGATAGTTAGAGGACCACGGATGAGGTGGCCCCAAAATGGCATTTCCAGACCTTTTCTACCAAGGTACTCCAATGGGTTCTAGGTGAGCAGAGATATAGGCAGGTCTCTTTCACCTCTGAGAGAGCAAGAATAGGCACTGGGAGGCCAGAGCCCTAGTAACCTTTTCTGTTTTTCTAGGGTGCTATTTACATGTTACCGCTTTCCATGTGTGCTGGGATGTAAAAGAATTTGGGAAGTACTGATAAAATAGTTTGGAAGGACTAAAATATTACCATTATCATTACATAACAACATGTAATTAACACACATAACAATATGCATAGCAACACATCATTACATAACAACAAGGTAAACACACAGGGACCCTCGAGGACAGCTAAATCCTTGTTTCCTGGAAAATAGGCCAAGCATATCAGATATCTATATTCTACTTCTTTTCATCATTCATTTTGTCACCTATGATAAGACTGTAATTATGTCCAAATAGCCAGAAAGTTTAAATGTCCGGGTTTTATCACTCATCATCAGAGAAATGCAGCTCAAAACCACAATGGGAAATCATCTCACCCCCAGCTTAAAATGGCATATATCAAAAAGACAGGCAATAACAGTTAATGGTGAGGATGTGGAAAGGGGGAAACTTTCCCCTTTCTAGTGATCTAGCAGTTCCACTACTATGTATATGTCCAAAAGCAAGGAAATCACTCTCATAAGTATTTCAGTACTATTCACAATCACTAAAATATGGAATCAACCTAAGTGCTCATCAATGGATAAATGGATAAAGAAAATGGGGCATATATACACAATGGAGTAGTATTGAATCATAAAAAAGAATTAGATTCTGTCATTTGCAGCAACATAGATGGAACTGGAAACCATTATGTTCAGTGAACTAAGCCAAGCACAGAATGAGAAATATTGCATTATTCTCACTCAAATGCAGGAACTAAAAAAGTGGATCTTAAGAAGATAGAGGGTAGATTAAGGCCAGGAAGGGGAAGAGGGAGAGGAGGAGGGAGGGAATGGATGAAGCAGAGGAAAAAGAACATAAATGTATTTATTATCACTGAATTGTACAGTTAAAATGGGAAAGATGGTAATATACATGTATATTTCACCTCAATGAAAAAAATTGTTTTAAATGTCCAGGTTTTCAAGATTCAAACAGAAGTAGCATAAGTCTAGAGTATTGTGAAATTCTTAAGGGCATCTGAATCATTGATGATTAAATGTTTCCTGTCATTGTTGGGTATTTGTATTCTAAGTTATTGTGCAATTGTAGTCCATTTATAATGTGACACTAGAATATTCTACAGTTTTATCACAGTAAGCTTCTGAGGTGTTTTGGCTGCAACTAATGTAAGCTATGAAATCCTCACTAATAAAACAATGATTATGGCTTGGTTATGAAGTCTTAACCTTATCACCCCAGTCTCCTCCTAACTTTGCTGATTATGGAGAAAACAAGATTAATGGAGAAACTGCCATGCTCTTCTTAATAGTCATTATTTTTTCTTTAAATAAGCATGGCAAATTTTAAATTGCTGTATTTCCAAAGAATGACACCTACGGGGACAGATTTTAAAAAATCAAGACCACAATCAAATGTTTTTATTCTTTGTTCTGAAAACAGACAAATTCTGAGAATTTTCTTGTAGGTTCCTAGTTCTGCATAACAATTTGGCACCAAAAGTCTTAGACAACAAGGCATCCTACCACTGTATCCATTTTTTAAAATTTTGAGATAGGGTTTTACTCTGTTGCATAGGCTGGAGTGCAGGAGTATGATCACAGCCCACTGCAGCCTTGAGTTTTTGGGATCAAGTGATTCTCACACCTGAGCCTCCCAAGTAGCTGAGACTATAGGTGCACACCACCACGCCGCCTAATTCAAAAAAATTTTCTGTAGAGATAGGGTCTCTGTATGCTGCCCAGGCTGGTCTTGAGCTCCTGAGCTCAAGTGATCCTTCTGCCTTGGCCTCCCAAAGTGATTTCAGGAATGAGACACTGCTCCCATCCTCTGTGCTTATTTGACTGTTGATCCTAAACCAACAACACCGTCATTCTCTTGGGTTCACCAGTCTCCCATTATTTACATAATGCAAGTGTCAGGACAGACATGTTAGGTATGCACTGCATACACAATACTCTCCGATGTTATCTTTTAAAATCAAGATTTTGTCTGCTCAATTTTCAAATAAAATTTCTTCTACAACTCAGTCAATATTCAAGAATCTGTTTTCTAAATTGTGTTTATCAGTTACTTGTATGCGATCATGCTCCAAAAATCAACAACTTGCTTGCAACAAAACACTTGGTTAACAAAATCCTAATTTACACTATGAGCTGTTTTCTAAAAGTGCTAGTGTTCAAGAGCATTGCTAAACAAAGACTTTAAAGTGCTTCACATATGGTAGATGCTTAATAAATATTAAATTAAATATATACAATGTAGTTGATACTTCTTTTGCTATCAACGAATAAAAATTTACTAGACTGCAGCGTCATGCACAGAAGCCTAGGGGAAAATGACAAAGTAGAAATAGTGCCTCTGCTTTACTGAATTGGCAACAAATTGGGATTAAAAAACCATACTTGGCCAACAATTACAAAAACAGTTTCTGTTAAATTGCATAAATATAGAGCAAAGACTGTGTGCAGAACATGAAAGAAGGGCAGATTTCTTGAGACCTGGAGCGGTTAAGCACGGGGTTTTGGAGGGAGACAGGTGGGCAACTGGGAAAATCTCAAGCGTAGGGAGTAAGAAAGTGAAGGTACAAGGATGAGGTCTCACACAAAAACCATCCCACATGTTAACCATTCTCAATAAATTTGGGCCAAATGAATTCAAATAAGAAAAAAGACATAATTACTTGTGTTAGATCAAGTTTAGCCTAAAGCTGCCTCCTTACATATTTTAGGTTTGGCCTAAAGCTTTCTCTGTACCTTGTGAACTATAAGAAGTGGAGATGTAAACAGGCTGTAGCCTACACTTATGCCAGTTACTGAGTTTTGGCCAATCAAGTGTAGCCAACTGTTTGAACCATGTTTAAATAAGGCAAACCAACCTGTAACCAATCCAGCTGTTTCTGTACCTCACTTCTGTTTCTGTACGTCACTTTCTTTTTTTCTGTCCATAAATCTTCTTCCACTGCATGGCTGTGCTGGAGTCTCTCAGCTTATCTTGCTCAGGAGGCTGCCCAATTCATGAATTGTTCATTGCTCAATTAAACTCATTTACATTTAAATTCAGCTGAAGGGGTGTGTGTGTGTGTGTGTGTGTGTGTGTGTGTGTGTGTAACTGTTTATTAGGAAAGGCCTGGAAAGGCTGACTAGTGCACCCTGTTGTCTTCCAATAAGTCATTTCTTAGTCTACTTCTAGGAAAATACTAATTGGAGCTATTTTTAATGACCTAAAGAGGTTGATTTCACACTCACAACCTCTTTAGATCACCTACCTATTAACAGGCCTTGCTTCTTATATAATATAAGGGAAAAAATACAATATTCTCTCTACCTTTCGCAGTTCTTCATGGACTCCCAGTAACAAAACAGATAGTCAGAAGTTCAATAACATGCATACCTCCTGTATCATAGAAGATAGGGATATCTCCAAGGGTAAATCTCCAAGAGTTAATCTCAGAGAAGCGGCTTTGACTTCAGACTATTTAGTAAAGAAGTACTATTCTTTGCTGAGATAAAGAAAGAAGGATGTGAGGAAAGGCAGGTTATAGGGAGAAGGCCAGGAAAAGGACAGTAAATGGGTAGGATTTGTTATGCAGATGTAAGTGGTACCTTCTCCATTGATAAAAGTCTAGTGATTTAGTTATCCCTGTCTTCCCGGTGGGAGAATGAGACACTCTGAGAAGTGGAGATTTCCTTTACAGATGTAAATTTATCTTAGGAAGGGTAACTTCTACTCTGTTATCAGAGATTCTCCTGTGTCTGCATTTTCTCAAAATAATCAGCTTAAAATAATCCTTATGCCAAACAGGAATATTTTGGAGTGGCATATTCTTGTCTGCTATAGTTATATTTTGGGGTGATGGATCCTAAACTCCATCACTAAGAAGCAAGCTCACCTGTGAAGATAATCTCTGGTCCTCCCACCCTCTAAGTCTGCTTAGTTCTTGTTACGTCTTTTGTGATGTTGAACAGAAATGCTTGGTTATGTTTTTGGTCAGGCGCCCTTTATGTAATTAAATCTCTCCCTGGTTTTCTTTTCTTTGTTCTCAAAATATTTTTGTCTTCAGGCATTCTTGCCTCCTTTCCTGCATGGCTTTTTCTTGCTTATTCTGCCTTTGTGTCAGCAAAAGGCCTGGGCTCCCTCCATTCCCTGAAGACCTGACGGGGAGCGATGACTTGACTGGGTGGAGACTGCCCTGTCTCTGTGGCACTCTCAGACCACATTGCGCAGCCCCTGCGGGCACCCAGGAAATGCAGGGGTTTAGGAGAGAAGTCTGGTTTCTAGTGAAGGCTATCAAGTGCATAGATTATAGCTGCATCTTATTAGCAGCTCTGGGAACATCTAGCAAACCACATCATCACAGATCTGAGACGGGAGGTTTACACAGGAAATGAGAACTGTGAAAGGGGAGAGAAATGCCTCCTCTTCCTGTTTCTTTGCTGCGCATCTAGGCCACCGGGAGGTAACTCTTCTTCTCTAATTGGAAATGTTCAATTTTCATTCAGTTGGCTGTATCATGAGAAGAAAGATTCATTTTCACAAGTGGCTACTGATTTCTCACCCTAAGAACTATGTTCTTCACAGTGTCCCGAGCTCAGGAGTATGACAATGACATTCTCTTGTCTCTAGCACCAAAGTGGGATTCCTGCCTGATTTTCAAGGGCATCCAATAAGCTGACCCAGACTACCCATCCTACCACACGTCCCCTACAGTTTTCTGGAGAGTTTCTCTTGTTCTACTGGAGAGTTTGTCTTGTTCTACTAGAGAGATCTACTCACCCCCACCAGGATAGGCCAATGTTGTCCTACTGTTAATTCTTCACTAACATGATATAGAAAGGTATCCCTTCTTGTCTCCACTCTACAAAATCCAGTGAATTCTTCATATTACCGTTCTCCTGGAATTATAGATTCTCAAGATCAGAAGGGATTTGTAAGGCTATTCAATCCAGCACCCAGCTCATGGCAGGCACTTTATAAATATTTGTGAATTAATTAATGAGCTACACTTCTCTGAGAAACTCCAGCTGGGATCCTCTTTTTGGTCATACCTACTGAAAATATATCCATGCATCAAAATAGAGGCTAAATAGACTCTCCTGAACAACTCACTGTAGAAAAATTTCGGTTCCACTTTTCAAAGAAGTAAGAAAAGCAGTTTGAAGGGTGGTATTGATTATTTTAATTCACCAAGTATGAACACGTATAACAGTAGTTTCAAATGGTTAGAATGGGCCATGAAAACTACTGTGGCTCAGTGAGGCCTACAGCAATTAATTAAGAATTTTAGACCAAGGAGCTCTCAATTAAGAGTATTCACTCCTGCTAATTCTTTTTTCCTCTTGTGCTTTTTTACTTTTTTTTTTAACTTTTATTTTAGGTTTGGGGTACATGTGAAGGTTTGTTACATAGATTAACACATGCCATGGGGGTTTGTTATACGTATTATTTTATTACCCAGGTATTAAGCCCAGTACCCACTAGTTATCTTTTCTGCTCCTCTCACCCCTCCTACTGGTAGATAACTACTAGGCCTAATATTTGGGTGATGTTGTTTCCTTCTTTGTATTCGTAAGTTCTTATCATTTAGCTCCCACTTATAAGTAAGAACATGTGGTGTTTGGTGTTCTCTTCCTGCATTAGTTTGGCAAGGATAATAGCCTCCAGCTCCATCTATGTTCCCACAAAAGACATGCTCTCATTCTTTTTTTTACAGCTACATAGTATTCTATGGTGTATATGTACCACATTTCCTTTATCCAATCTG